TTAAGATTGGTATAAACAAACAACATAATAACTTAAAAAATGTTCTTGACCATCTTATAAAACAAGAAGAAGTGAATGTCTTACGGAGTTAGCAGAATTCCATAAATCTAGACATAATATTGGTTGTTTTGAAATTAATGTTGGTGAAGTTGTTCCAACAAAAAAAATCAGAAATCTTGATTAATTTAGAAGACAGCGAAAGTAGAAGAAAATATGAAATCAAGCTATGGTCATTCACGGGTAGCAAATGTTAGGTGTTTAGATCATTCAGAAGAATTAGAAGAGATCTAAATAAACTTATTCCAGCGGAATATACAAATAAAAATAAAAACACAACTGAGCCACATGTAAAAATTGAAAAGAATGATACAAGTACAATTAACGTTTTTCTTGTAGTTATTCATTAAGTTTGCAAAATTGTTGCTTTCTTTTGTTAAGTTTTTACTAAAATAATATATCTATAAAATAATAATAATAAAAATGTTAGCAGCCGCACTTCTTTTTAAATTGTTTTTAAAAATTACACGATGTTTTTTTATTTTTAACATGTTTCGTAAAATTTTATTAACATTTTTAAAAGTTTATCATACAATAATAAAACTCTGAAATAAATATTAAAAAATTAGAAGTCTTTGCAGAGAAATAATAACAAACAAGTTATACATAATAAGCCAATATAGTTGTTTCAAAATAACCAACCGTCAAAAAAATAAACTGACTGTAAAATCAAATAGATAACTTATCTATAACATAATGCGAAGTTTGTTTAATAAGTGAGGAATATTCCCATTTAATGTGGAGGACTTCTTTTATAAATTAAAGTGTTTAAATATATAAGATTGGAGTGGAGGGTTTCTAAGATAAATTTAAGTGTTTAAATATATGAGGTTGTTGATGACAATTAATGCGCTCATTTATTTTAGTTGCCAAATGTCTGGAGGTTTCACCAATATAACTGGCATTACAGCCGGCGCAGGAAAATTTATAGACAACAATAGATTTAAGTAGTTTAGGAAGTGTCACTTTAAATCAAAAACAATCTTATTATATTAGTAGTGAAAATTAATTTTATTAGAAAATCCTTACAATATTTATAACCAATTTTAGAAATTTTCATTTTAGTTTAATTATATTACATTCCAATGAATGAAAGATTAAAGTATGTTATATTTAGGCTATTAACAATGTTAGAAACAGATGGGTTCAGTTTCTTATCAATATTTTACTTTTCAGATTTCTTTCAGAGACAGTTATTTTTTGTGGAAAGTTCTTATTTTGTGAAACTAATGATAGGTTCTTAAAATCTTTATCTAAACCAAATCAAGTATTATTTATTTTTAACGTACGATCAATCGTACAACAAACAAGTCCAAGTTTGTAGCAAGAGGGATAAGGCTAGGCAATTTTTGTAAAAGACCTGCCCAGCTAACACAAAACGTTCAAGTACGTTCGTTGAACGTTGCGAACATTATACGAGTGTACTATAAAGTTCTGGAACGTTTGTAACGTTCGTTGAACGTTTTGTGTTAGCAGGGTGTTTACGTCTTTTTATGATAAACCGAAGTCTTATCATAAAAAAACAATGGTTTCCTTAAGTAGAATAGTGGTAAAAAAAACTTTCAAAATCACATGAAAGATAAATTTATAAGTTACATTGGTTTGTTTTATTTCTTAAACAAAAGAAAAAGAGTCAAATTTGCAAAACTGTTTTCGTATAATAGGAGACAATAAATGAGAAAGATGTTTGATGAGGTTGTACTTCTTTATAAGATACTTTAAGCTTTCATGCATTATAATGTACTCTAGTGATACTAGAAGGAAAATTTCTAAAATTTTAAGTATGTTATGATAAAGTTCATATTTACTACTAATTAAATACAAGATTGTTTTTCCTTAAAAGCGTCACTTACTAAACTACTTAAATCTCATGTTGTCTATAAATTTTTTTGCGCTGGCTGTAGTGTCAGTTAAATTGGGGAAATCTCCAGATATTTCATATTTACAAGATTTAAATGTTAAAATTAGTTAACTAAATTTTGCAAATAGAATTGTAGACGTATATATATATATATATATATATATATATATATATATATATATATATATATATATATATATATATATATATATATATATATCTATATATATATGTATATATATACATATATATATATATATATATATATATATATATATATATACCCTTATAGTGTAGTCGAAAGAGCGTTTTAATGTAAAAAAAGTCTCTTACGACTACAATTTTAATTACCTCGTCTCTTAAGCTGTTTTTGATTGTCATCAAAATGTCAAAGCAATTAATTTATGCGGAAGTACATTAAATTTAATTGTTTTTTAAAAATTTTTTTAAAAACCGCAATTATAACGACTAGAAAGTTTTTTTTAATTAGTTGTGTTTTTAATAAAAAAACATTTTTAAAACATGCGTAAATGTTGCTACATCGACTATCTTATAGCCTAACTCGCAACGGAGTGCTGCTACATCGACTGACAAATAGCCTGACTCGCAACGGAGTGCTGCTACATCGACTGACAAATAGCCTGACTCGCAATGAAATGCTGCTACATCGACTGACAAATAGCCTGACTCGCAAGGGAGTGCTGCTACAACGACTGACAAATAGCCTGACTCGCAAGAGAGTGCTGCTACATCGACTGAGGGTTTGGTTTGGCCAGGCAGTCTATCAATTAAAAAAAAAAATTAATTTTTAAATTTTTAAATCTTTTTCTGGTCTGGTTTATTAACGCGCTCTTTAAAACTACAGTTTATGGGAAACTTTTTTTGATGCCACGCAAGAGACATGCAAGAGTATATATATATATATATATATATATATATATATATATATATATATATATATATATATATATATATATATATATATATATATATATATATATATATATATATATATATATATATATATATATATATATATATATATATATATATATATATATATATATATATATTTATATATATATATATATATATATATATATATATATATATATATATATATATATATCATATATATATATATATATATATATATATATATATATATATATATATATATATATATATATATATATATATATATATATATATAAATATATATATATATATATATATATATATATATATATATATATATATATATATATATATATATATATGTATATATATATATAATAAAATTGATGACGAATTTAACGAAAACGCGCGTTTTCAATTAAATAATTATGAAGGAGTGCATATGCAAAGAAAATCAAAAAATAGAGGCGGGGTTGTTGTAATTTACATTAAAAATAGTTAGCGGTATAAGTTACGAAACAATTTATGCATATCCGATTACGACAGGGAATTTGTTTCTATTGAAATCGTTAATAATGGCTTTAAAAATACCATAATATCATGCTATTTTAAACCGCCACAGTCTTCAACAGAAATATTTTTAAACCATCTTCAAAATATTATTTTGAAAAGCTTCCAAAAAAAAAAAGTTTATTTGTAGTTGGAGATTTTAATCTTAACGCTCTTAACTATGATAAAAATAAAGAAACACAAAGCTTATAGAATGATTTTTTCCGATTTGGTGTAATTCCTCTTATAGGCCAACTCGAATTACAAGATATTCATCAACATTAATTGATAATATATAACAAATTCTTCATTTGAATTCTCGCTAAAAAAAGAAGTAATTAAAACTACTTACGAAACGTGCCATAATAAATATATTCAACGATGTTTTTTGAACTCATTACGTATATTAAAAATAAGAATGATGGGTAGAAATATACATGTTTTTTTTTTTAAGCATATGAAATTTTTGAAACAGGTTCGAATATGCTTAAGCAAATAGTAAAAAGAGGCTCAAAAATATGCTTTCGCTTAAGCATATTTCTGATAAAATATACCTATTTCAATAATTTCTAAAGGTGTGCACGTTAGTAAAGTTCTAGCAGATTTTAAAGGTATGTAGAGTCCTGTTTAAATACGCTTTTCGAAGTATAGATGTTAGAAAATATTGTTTTTTAATTTTAATAAGATATAATTTGAGTATAAGATTGTATAGTTCAATCAGTTAGATACGTGATAATTCGCTGCAGAGATCCGGGTTCGCATCCCGCAGCCATTGTAACTTTTGTTCATCAAACTCTTTTTACTTAAGATAGCATTTTTTACCCTCCATGTTCTATATTACAGATCTTTCGTTTTGCTTTAAATCTTTTGCTTTTTGTACTAGACAGCTGTCCTAAATACTTTGTAATAATTTCTAGCTAACTCTGAGTCTAATATAACCATTTCTGAATATAATTTCCCTGAGGCTCCTACAGCCTATTGTGTTCCATTAAAAGTAACTAGTTTTTGAGTACAGATATTAATTATAAGCATCTAAAGGTTCACATTACTATTCATTTTCCTGATATATAGAATCCTATTTTCATACGTATCTCTTTCTGTAAATTCTGTTTTATATAGTTTCTTAATTATATATTAAATAAATATTACTATTACTTAGTTAAATGAACGAATAGCTCATTCAGTTAAGACATTTGGCCGCGTAGACCCAGGTTCACATCCCGCTGTTTCACATATATTTCTTCTCTTTTTACTCTTTCTGACATCATTTACCTTTAGAGAGATATCTCGTTCTTTATAATAAAGTATTTAATTGTTTATCACACATCCTCTTTATACTTTTTTATAACAGTTAATATCTTAAATATATCGTAACATAAAATCTTTTGCGTCTTTTTCGTCACTACACATTCCGGAATGCTTTTTCCGTAAGGAACTATTTCGTAAGTATTCTTACAAAATGATTTGTTTTGCAAGTTTTCTTTCGCAATGCTTTATTACGGAATTTTATTTACTACTTATATTTTCGTATAGTTTATCAATATTTTTTTATTTTTTCATGAAAAACATTTTCCCAAAGTAACAAAAACAATTAAACTTAAAGACATAAATTCACCTTGGTTAAGTAAAGGTCTTAAAAAGTCATCTAAACGGAAACAAAAATAATATATAAAATAACTTAAAAAAAAAATTGATAAAACAAAAACAGTATACAAGAATTATGCAAATTTATTTGAGAAACTTAAAAAAACCGCTAAAGCTACTTATTATAACAAACTTCTTAAAAAGTGTCAAACAGATTCCAGAAAAACTTGGCAATTATTAAATTAAATAATTGGAAAACCAAAAACTAGCAAACCATGCTTTCCTAAGACAATCACAAATCAATAGATAAAAATCAATCACAAATCAATTGATAATGAAAACGACATTGCAAATGAGTTTAACAACTTCTTTGTTAATATAGGATCTAAACTTGCATCTCAAATTCCTCGTGTAAATAAATCTTTTGATAAATATTTAATTCGTAATAGAAATAAACTAAATAACGAGGCTTTTAAAAGCCTTAAAAGAAACAAGGCTACTGACGGTGTCAATAGCAACATAGTAATTAACTATTACAATGAGCTTAAAAATACTTTATTCAAAATTTTTAAACAATCTTTAAAGGAAGGTATATTTCCTGAAAAACTAAAAACTGCTAAAGTAAAACCTTTATTTAAATCAGGAGATGCAAGTGAAATAGGTAATTTTAGACCAATATCAATACTTTCAACATTCTCTAAGATACTTGAGAGAATTATGCACAATAGGTTATATACTTTTTTTAAAGAAAACAATCTTATTTATTCAAAGCAGTTCGGCTTTCAAAAAAATACATCAACTGAACACGCAATCCTTCACTTGGTTGAAGTAATAAAAAACTCCTTTACAAACAGAGAAGTTACTTTGGGGGTTTTTGTAGATCTTTCGAAGGCTTTTGATACAGTCGACCACAAAATATTATTATCAAAGCTTAATTTGTACGGTATAAGGGGTAGATCCAACAAGTGGATAAAAAGCTATTTAGATAAACGTGTGCAATGTGTATATTACGGAGACAATAAACTCTCTAATCCGTCTATAATAGAGTGTAGTGTACCTCAAGGTTCAATACTTGGACCCTTGATTTTCTTAATCTATGTAAACGATCTCTCTATGGCTTCAAAAAGAACTTCAACTATAATGTTTGATGACGATAGCAACTTTTTTATCTTTGGAAAGTATAATAGCAAGCTGTGCGTAGAAATGAACAATGAATTAAAAAAGATTTCAGAGTGGTTTAGGGAAAACAAACTCTCTATTAACTCGAGTAAAACAAAGTTATCTTTATTTCATCTTTCTTTTAAAAAAAAAGAAGTTCAATCTTTTCTTCCGAAATTGTTTATTGAAAATAAGGAAAAAGGTAGGGATACTGTTATGAAATTTTTGGGTGTTTTTATTGACAAAAATCTAAATTGGAATAAACATATCGCTTATATAAGTAGTGAAGTATCCAAAAGCATAGGAATAATATACCAGTCACGTTATTTATTAAAAAAACCACTACTCAAACAAATCTACTATAATTTTGTTCAAAGTTACCTAAACTACGGAAATATAGCTTGGGGTAGTACCTATAAAACGAAACTAGAACCACTTTATCGTAAACAGAAGCATGCTATACGTGTGATTAATTTTAAAAATAAAACAGTTCACTCAAAACCTCTTTTTGAACAAATGTCTTTATTAACATTGTCTGAACTAAATATATATAATGTATGTATAGTAGCAAAATGCAAAAAAGTCCTTCAATTTTCTATAGGGATGTACCAAAGCTAAAATTTTGCCGAAGCCGAAGCTTCGGCACTATATATGCTTAAAATTTAATCAGCATTCAGATCAGCAGGGGTGTAAAACAAAAAAGGTTCCAAAACTAAGATCCTTTACTAATAATATAGAAAAAATGTATAAAAATGAGGACACAAGTCAGGGTTGGTGCCCAGGCAGGGCAAAAGCTCTTAGCGCCCCTGCTTGAAAGTTTCTCATTATGTCGTTTCTGATACTTCACCGCACCTAGTGTTTTTTTTAAAACTTAAGCTTTTTTAAAACATTCTCCCCAAATTTTCCTACTTCTAATTCTACTTTTTCTGTGTGCAAACCATATTAATGTTATGTAGTGCACAATATCAGTAACTCACACATATTTCCAACTATTCTCAATATTCTTCTAAGATTATTGCTATTTTTTTGATCTTTTATAGCCATACTGTTCTTCTATGTAAACATCGTTTCTCTTTAATCCTCTATCTAATCATTTTATTTTTAATCCTCTATTTAATCATCTTGTTTGCTCTATCTAATTATAGTGTACTAGCTAAACATTCTCAAATTTTATTCCTCATAAATTACTGTTACGCATCTTTTCATGTGCTGTATATCTTATTTTTGATTTTAATGCACCTTTTGTTATAAGTGGATAAAAATCTCTGAATATTATTCAAGTAAACTAATCTTTTACACTTGAAAACTCTTTCTCTAAATAAACACTCTTAGCTGATCTAGTTGTATCTACAACATAAAAAATCTTACAAACACACTTTATCTTTTTATTGCTATTTATTTTAAGGTCTTTTTTTTACTTCTCTGTATTCATTAAACGAACAATTTCTAAACTTTTTGTTGTTTTTACGTAATTTTGTTTATATATATAATTTACTAAATAATTACTAATAGATAAAAAAGTATGTGTAGGAAAAAGTATGTTATATATATATATATATATATATATATATATATATATATATATATATATATATATATATATTATATATATATATATATATATATATATATATATATATGTATATATATATATATATATATATATATATATATATATATATATATATATATATATATATAAATATATATATATATATATATATATATATATATATATATATTTATATTTATATATATATATATATATATATATATATATATATATATATATATATATATATATATATATATATATATATATATATATTTTTTTATTATTATATAATATATTATAATAGTTATAGGGTGTTTATTTGTCAATATAGGAATATCAACAATATTGCAATATTTTTTTGTAGTTAATAAATGAGTTTTGTTGTCTAACAAAAATTGTGGATTTTTAAGTCTAGAATTTAAATCCATAAGACACAGCAAGCATTAGGTTATTACAGAAGAGAGATCAGATTTAAACTTTGCTGCTTTTTCTAAGCAATTAAAAAGCGAAGATTTATTGTGAAGATAAGAGTATAGTAGAGTCGTCATCAAATAGAGCCACTTTAGATTTCATTATGATTGATATTGTAGATAAAAATTATTTCAAGAACAAATATAGAATTTAAAAGTTACTTGAAATAAAGAGGGTAAGCCTTCAAGAATAACTTCACCACTGTAGTTAGAAAGAATTAATTTAATTATCTCAAAACCTTTTCATAGAAAATTATAAGAAACTTTTAACAAAGTGAAGAAGAATCGTAGGATACTTGGAGGGGTCAAAGTGTTTTTTAGAGATTGGAACAATAGGAACCACGTATTTAGCACTTTTTTAAAGTTTAACAAAAGTTGTAGATAGTTCTGGAGAACTTTTTTTTAAGACTAAGATGGAAGTCTTTTCTGAAGCACACATTGTAGATGTGTTTAATTGAGAATTAGTTTTAGTATTGGAAGCTAGAGTAATTTCGATGTTTAACAATGGATTAATTGAAAGTTTAGCAAAAATATTTTACTATCACAAAGAGTATAGCCGTTATATTCCAGAGTCAAACTAGAGTAAGATTTACTTGTAAATAGCTCTGTTTTACTCTAGGGTAAAGTAAAAAGATGAGACCCATAAGATAGAGATTAAACGTCAGACTTACTTCTGTTAATAACACTGTTGAAAACTAACCAAAAGTCTCTAGAATCAACATCTAAGATAAGATACAAGGTTTAGTAAAAAAACTTCATTTATACATTCGCTTATTGCAATAATAAAAAGGACAATTTTTTCCTAAGAGAGATGTTCTTATAAAAAAGCTAAAAAACGTAAATAATGTTGAAAGATGTAGAGTAGAATGAGGCTTGATTTAAAACTGAAGAGAAGTAATAAAAGCTTACAAACTTTTATTCCAGAAGCAATATAAGCTTCCAAGAATCACTTTTTGCACACATATTATGGATATAAGCAAATTTGTTTGCTCTTTGTTTAGATGCTAGCATACAATATCCTTTCATTGTTGTATAAACTTTAGCATTTATATAGTGCAGTATTTGCGAAAGAGAAAATGATCAGATGGATGTGTAGTGTGACTCTAACAAGATATAAAAAGTAGGCATAATCTTTGATAGATTAGAAAAAACGTTGTATCAAACAACCTTTTTTTTTAGAAAAAGTTAAAGTAATTCAGGTATTAACATGTAAAGTGGTAGCAGCTTCAGTATAAAATGGTTGTGGTAGATGTAAGAAAATTTGAAGAGTGTGCCTTACATGGTGTAACAATAAAGATGATGATGATTATGATGAAGACAATCAACAACATCAACAAAACTTTTATTATCATTGTCAAGCTCTCCACTTTTATGGTGTTGATGATGATGATGATGATGATGATGATGATGATGATGATGATGATGATTATGATGATCATGTTGATCACAATGATGTTCATATATGCATATATATACAAAAGATAGCATGAATTTTATATTTAAAAAATATACTTTAGGATGTATAAATGTTTATGCAGCCTGGTCTCAAACCCGGCCCTGGCCCCGAATAGATTTTATCAAACGCGGCCCCGGCCCCAGTCAAACATCAACCCCAGTTGTTTACTACAAAACATTTCAAGAATAAAAAACGTCGTGTTATTTTTAAAAACAATTACTTTATGCTATTACAACAATCACAATATATATATATATATATATATATATATATATATATATATATATATATATATATATATATATATATATATATATATATTTATATAATTTATATATATATATATATATATATAATTTATATATATATATATATATGATTATATATATATATATATATATATATATATATATATATATATA